AAAATCCACCAATGACAATAAACACAATTTTTTATCAGTAAAATCGGTAAAAATACTGTGTTAATTAAATATAAAATTTTTAACATCATATTTGCTGCTGTCATTATACACACACACACACACACACAGAAACATAATTAATCATATAATAATGACAGCAATTTAAATTCTTATTATATAGAATATTTAATAACTTATATTTTTATTGAATCATTTATTATCAAATTTATACTGACCAGCCTATAGTATAATTTGATTTATCGTTTATTAAATATGACAAAACATTTGCGTAGCTTTACAACAAATATTTCAGAACATAAATACCAAACTACTAAACAAACTAAAGTGCTCAGTGACACTTTCTGCTGATGAATGCATTTAAATTAACACAACAATCTCATTCAGAATGTGATTGTGACACTTTATTGAAAAAATTAATACTAATACGAATATTTCTGATGGGAAATGATTTCCCATTACTGCTCATCGCTGGCATAGGGGAGCAACAGAAAAGAACAAAAACATAAACTAGCCTACTTGACTACATTAATACTAAATTGCAAACATGGAACATATCATGAATTATTAAGATGAATAATAGTAATGCTGATGCTATATATCACAATATGTGTGCAGTAAATGCATATAGCGCTCTCTCAAAAGCTTTCATGATTGTCCGTGTTACCAAAATCCAAACGAATAATGGTGGGAATGTTATATCCAGAATCAGCCGTGACAGAGACCGCCTTCAGAGATGAGTTTGAGGGTCACTGTCATAAATCCATTATGCACAAAGTTCAGTGAGTCTCACGGCATCAAACAGTTTCAAACGTCAATTCCTCAAACTCATGCCTCTATTGATAAGGTATGCTTTACTCTTTATTGTTTTACAAGGTTTGTTTCGCTTCCTAATCCGATTCGGCTTTGCATGATTGTGACTTCTTGCATGCCATGTGTCTGTCGGTATCCACATCCCAGAATGCACCTGTAGTGAATATACTGTAAATACAGCAGTGACTCTTTGTGGCGTATCTTGCAACTTTGCACTTGTTGGATGCAGAAGTTTCGCTTCTCTTGCAGTCAACCGAGCTGTAAGAAAGTAGCACGTGTTATGATGCTCCCTCTGGTGGTTCAACATGTTCTACTGTATTCCTTCTTCCTTCATAATGAAGCCCACAAGTGCATAAACAGTGTTCTCTAGTGTTGAAGAAGTGCAATTCCTTTGCAGATTCCCCTTTCTGGGTCACTCCAGTTTTTTCTTCCCTTTTAAAGTAATTCCAAGAAAGTTGATATCCAACAGTGATACGTCCCTTCAAAACAATCGAAACTCACAAGACATCAGCTGATCAGGTTGATTACAGGTTGTGTCTTTGGCAAAAGAACAATTCTTATTCTTCCGATGACTCACATAAAACATGAACGACATAAAACGAGCTTCATTAATTTGGTCCTTCTAAATCCAATAACATGATTGTGTTCTGCAGAAGCACAGTCTGTACGCTGTTCTGTATAATAGTCTCATTTGGCTTTTGTATTCCATGTTGTACGATTATTGTTAACGTGCTATATTGAAGTGGCTGAATAAACAGCATGAACACAAAATCATGTAGAAAACCTTCTTTACGAGCAACTTGATCATCAATTTTTGACTTTCTTAGCCATTAATAAGACAGAAATCCGATTGTGTAACTCGCATCATCCCCTCTGGGTGTGTTGTTCCACTTCTTATGTTTCAAGTTTTCATTTTCTACAAAAATAAGTGCCTGTTTTCCATCAAAAGCAGTCAGGTGTCCAGGGCTTTGAATGCAACACACGTGGGGGATGTGCGTCTCTGGGAAGGAGATTCAGAAATTGCTAAAAATCTCATGCTTCTTGTTCCAGTCCATCTGGGGCGCTCTCTTTCTGGTGCGCTTGGCGTGGGCTTTCTCTTTAGCCTCCGCCGCCGTGGGGCTCAGACACAGACCTATTTCTTCAAACGGGTCGAGAAGATGGCTGCTGCTCTCCCTCGAGAACTACAATATATATATATATATATATATATACATACACACATAACACAGTTTCAAACAGCTACATTACAGTATGCTTAAAATATTGAGTATTCGGCATTAAATGCATTTTTGTGTACTATATATAAATAAAGCATAATTTGGAATAATTATAAATTCTCTTATTCTCACCAAGGTTGCATTTATTTGATCAAAAATACAGTAAAAAAAAAAATTCATGCTGAAAATTCAGCTTTGATCACAGAAATCAATTACAGTTTAAAATAAATGTAAATAGAAACCAGTTACTTTAAACAGTAATAATATTTCACAATATTACTGTTTAAAGTAACTGGTTTCTATTTACATTTATTTTAAACTGTAATTGATTTCTGTGATCAAAGCTGAATTTTCAGCATTACATTAAAGACAATAAGCAGTTAACAAATGCCTACTATATATATATATATATATATATACACACACACTGAGAAACAGTAGGTGAAAATGTGAAGTTATTATCTTAAGGAGCTTTTTTTTTTTTTTTAAATGATCTGACCCTTGAAATGTGTTTTGTCATCTTAACATCATATTGATTTAAATTTAAATTGGTGAAATGTATTAAATAATAGGAATATTTTTATTATATAAAAATAATTCAATTAATATTCCTATCCTATTATATAATAAATAGTATAATTTATTACATTTATAAAACTGTTAAATACATTTTGACTTGAATAATGTATATTTGTATATATATATACACAATTAAATTAATCAAATGCCTGTGTCACTATAACTTTTTCAATCATAACATGCATAAGACTTTTGTATCTTTTAATTTCTACAATAAATTCATATCTATATATGTTTAAAAGACAATAAGCAGTAAATGAATTTCTGCAAAAATAATAAATCTCACTGTGCATTGTGCAGTTGTTACGTTTTATATAACATAGCTTTTTTACAAGTTAGCTGACCCTTAAAATGTGTTTTAACTAATTAAAATTATTTTTTGACAATGCATGAATTTGCCATAAATATAAAATAGAAATATATTAATCGCAGATGCATTTGTGTTCTTTTGGTCACCTGTGTGTTGGTGTCCTGACTGCTGCCGTCTGAGTATGTGGATCGAGAGGACGTCCCGTTCACGTGTGGACTGGAGGAGCCGTTAGTTATGGACTCGTCAAAATCTGTTTTAATAAGAAGAACAAATGCTCAGATCGCTCTTCATTTACTGAGATCAAGAACAGAGAACATTGTGGCTGATGTTGAATGGAAAAACAGCCAGAAACATACATGTGCATTGTAGGTTTATCAATACATTGTGCATGAAGACCCTATTCATAGAGAGATGTGCCGTGATGCCAACTTCCTTGAGAAGACCATTGTGACCTTGAGCTGGCTCTTGAGAAAGAAAGCTGAGCTGTGGGATAAAAGCAGCATGCATCTGTGGCCTGATCAACCTAAACTGGGTTCAAAGACCTGACGCAGAAGATTTACTCTTCCAGCATGAAATGCATTAAAATGATACAAAGAAAATGGTGAATAAAAAGCACGTGGACTGGGCTGGAATGACCTTCTAGTGAGCCAAATCAGGATCCTGCCAAGTACCAACTATCTAAGAGATGTCAATAGCCTGTTCAAGGTGTTTAATCTGAGCCACATGTCAGGAGCTGCTAGACTGCTGAGAAACAGACGGGGGACGAGACTCAGAGAACATGGATTTACTGTACCAGAATGGCCTCCAGCCCAGACTTTTGAGGCTTTTGTTCAGAGTTTCACACCTCTATATAGAGCCTTGAGAGGAAGCCAAGCATCTGTCTGTTTCTAAACCTCAAAAGCACCAGAAAAATGTCAAACTCCCCCTCAAATCCCAGGAAGAGGAAATCAAGACTGCACATACAAACTGATTGTTATATTTTTCCCTTTGAGATCACAGCTCATGAACTCTCACTCTCCACAGTGAAGTCTTTAACCTTTTTTCATTAACTGTTTCCTCCTGGTGGAATGACCTGCCCAAATCAATCCGAGCAGCTGAGTCATTAACCATCTTCAAGAAACGACTAAAAACACATCTGTTCCACCTTTATTTGACCCTCTAACTCTAACACTTTCTATTCTATTTTAATTCTACTTTATCTATATTTATCTTTTTTTATTTTTTTATTCTTTATTTAAAAAAAACTACAAAAAACAAAAACTAGCTTTCTATTTTTTCTATTCTATCTACTTGTTTTTCTTTGTTTGTGTGTGTGTATAATATATACACACTTTGCCTAGACATTTGCACTTATATATTGTTGCTCTTTCTTAGTTTTGACTGCTTTTATTGTCCTCATTTGTATGTTGCTTTGGATAAAAGCATCTGCTAAATGACTAAATGTTAATGTAAATATATTTTTTCCTATATATATAGTTTATAAATGCTGATTTTAATTTTTAATTACATTTTTTAATTTTTAACATTTATTTAGTTACAATATAAATGCAGAGTAATAAATTATGATTATTTTAATAAATCTTTGTATATATTTTTCACATTAATGTGCTCATGTCATGTAAATATTGTCACAATATATATATATAAAAAACTTTATCTTGAAGCATTTTTTCCCTTTCTTGTCATTTTGTTGAAACTCGTAGTACATCAGGGTTTCATAAACATTCACCCATTATTTTTATTGCAATGACTACTGAAATGTCTATAAAACAGTGCTAAGCGTACTTTTTCTTCTTTCCACCAGCATATATAGTTTTTCCCGAAGTACAAACTTGCACATTTTATAATGGTTCGTCATGTGCACATTGCATTGATTAGATTTGGGTTAATGTGTTAAATCCGCACTCAATCCAACTAAGCCACACAAGTTCATGAGTTAATGGAGGTCATGAGAACATTGCATTTATTTCTGATAATGAAGGATGTATTCAGCTCTGCTGATCGCAAATGTAAGCTTCAACAGTATGTTATTTTGCTCGACTCAGTCTCTCAAGCACAGAAATATTTAGCGCGAGTCATCATACAATATCACACGCCACCCACATGCATCTGAATATGATGGATGGTCTGTGTGTGAGTGTGAATGCACAAGTGAATTTAGAAAGTGTGGGTGTATATCTGTATACTGATGCACATGCGTGTGATAGCATGATAGAAATATGATAGAGAACTGTTCTAAAGAAAGAGAGAATGATTCCTGCCTCACCTCTATGAGTCTGTCCTGTGGTTTGAGTCCAGCACGGTCAGCGGGTGAGCCGGGGTCCAGAGCCCGTATGTACTGACCCGGTCTGGACCTCTCGCTGTGGAGATTAAAGCCGTAACCCATCTCGGACCGCACCAGGAGACACAGCCTCGGCAGAAGCTCAGATGGATCCCGTGTCGAGGACTCCGACGAGGGCTGAGCCTCCTGTGACAGGAGAAGTAAAGACACTCAGATGCAAATAAACCTAAAGCTAAATCTTAGGTTGGAAAACCAAAAACTTTGTCTTTTATAGTAGTTCAGTTTTACAGAAGTTTTAAATAGTTGCAAATCTTGAAATAGTATGTTAAACAGTTTCAGCCAATGTCTTTCCATCCATAATCTCCAAGACAGAGAGAGAGAGAGAGGGGTTACTATAGATTTCTTGAAGGTTTATCTGCCAATAAGGTCAGAAAAATACACTTAATTTAAAGGGGAAACAAGTTTTCATACCCCAATGACAGATATTTGTTCTTGTTTTAAGCATAAACTCAATTTTGTTCCATTTCTCAGAAAAACAAGACTTTTTTTATTTTTATTTTATTTTGCATCTCTAAGGAAGATATTCATTTTTTGCAATGCATGCAATAATATTGCTGTGACTTTATGAATTTAAGACTTTGTACCCTTTGATTTAAGACCTTTAATGTGTGTATATATATATATTGGGAGAACTTGCACAATTGGTGGCTGAATAAATACTTTTTTGCCCCACTGTATATATAGTGATAAATTGACCAATTGACCATTATTTGATTGGATGATTAACAGATGTGTTAATTGCACCTAGAATCAATTTGAATAATGAATCAAAGTTACTGAACGAATTTTGGGGATTTGGAAAAATAAGTGTTCATTAAAAAAAAAAAAACTAAGAAAAAAAAACTTTTGTGTACATTTTATTTATTACAAATGATTGTGGTGTTCATTTTGAGTAAGGATCATCTGCTAAATGAATAATTGTAAATTGCTTTTATATCAGCCATCAACCATACTGGTTATCAGTCCACTGCTTAAAGGGGTCCTATTATGCTCTTTTACAAAGTCTTGATTTTGTTTTGGGGGTGTACTAGAACAGGCTATACTAGGTTGTTCGAAAAACATTATTTTTCACATATTTTACATTATTACAGCACCTCTCTCCCCAGTCTGGCATGAACGGCTCGAACGGCTCACCTGTACCAAATGAAGGTGAAAGACGAAATGTGCTGCGATTGGTTAGCTGGGCCAGTGTGTGCTGTGATTGGCAGCACTCGGCACCTGGTCGGGAAAGTCATGCCCCTTCCCATAGCCGCCTGCTAGCTTCAGTATAAATATTGCGTCAATATCAAATCAATTTGAGCGCGCTTTAAACCCGGATGATTGTAACCACTCTAAGTTTGTCTGCTTTGGGAAAGCTAGCGTGTCTCTGACATAGTGATAACACTCGTTGTTTTCTCTAGTGCAGCTCAACCAGGTCTCGTCCCATTCGTCGATCTTTGTGATATCACAAATCCCGGAAAATATGCGTTGTAGTCCAAACGAGTCGTTCGTTGTAGTTTTTGAAAAGTGATTTCTGTTAAATCAAATATCTCCTTTTGAAGTGGACTTTGAGCTTTGTAACTTCGCAGATCTTTTTTATGCTCAAACAGCAACATTACAGACTAACTTAAGTTGAAAAAGTGAAAAAGCATAATAGCACCCCTTTAAACAGCACAGAAATCGTAACAATAAACTCAAAATTAAAAGCATTTCTGTGTTATATTGTTGAAAACATAACGACAGGGTTACTTTCACAATGAATTCCACCATTGTGATTTGAGTGCATGAGTTTTCCTCAAAAATATTGTGTAATGGAAGCTTACAAACGACCAACCAATAACATGATCCCAGTCAGGAAATCTGCCTTTCATCCAAGACCGAGAGTGGAAAAAATACCCAACAATGCCACGAAGGGTGTTGTTTGACAGTGCAGTACACATGGAAAACTGAAAGCGAGGCCAGCAGAAGAACGGAAAGATGCTGAATGTATGAATAACAGCACGTGAAGCATTATCAGCCTGCCAGAGGAGAAACTCTCAAACCGGAGCAAAAATAGCCATCACGTCACCATAGAAACCACAATAAAGTGTCATAATGAACATGTCAAAATCAATACAGGTTACAATATGACATATTCCTACATATCTGGTGGCGTGTGCTCATGCATCACAATTACCAGTGCTCATATTTATTTATTTATTTGATAAATTACTACCTTTCTGCTCATAACTCCAAATAACTATGGAAACAAACACCCTTATCACACCCTAAAACCGTGGCGGAGAGTTCTGAACAGGTAAATGCATCATTAATGGTTGTAAAAGTCACAATGAAACAGGCCATTGCAGAGGAATCCAGGATGACGTTCTGTCAAATGTAAATCCTTCTTTTAGTTTTTATAGCTTAACATGGAGGTTAAAATTCATACAGCAGCTGAAAGTCAGCATCTGACCAAATCGAATGGAAATGTCCTGCATGTATCCAGAGCAGAGACGTTTGCTCCATTTAATAAACAAAAAGCAAGGCAGCAGAACATAATCACTCTTGTGAAAACAATTAAAAACCAAAGAGCATTCATTATGCAAAGAGGTTTTTTATTCGTAAGAGGGAGTAATTACAGCGAAGGTCAAAGGTCAAGGTCCATTAGGCGAGTCTATTAAGAGCGACGGCAAAAACACAAACAATATGTGTGTGTGTATACATAATATTATAACTATTCGAATATATTATTACACATTTTAAGGGTTAGTTAATTTTCATGTATCCAGAGCAGAGACGTTTGCTCCATTTAATAAACAAAAAGCAAGGCAGCAGAACATAATCACTCTTGTGAAAACAATTAAAAACCAAAGAGCATTCATTATGCAAAGAGGTTTTTTATTCGTAAGAGGGAGTAATTACAGCGAAGGTCAAAGGTCAAGGTCCATTAGGCGAGTCTATTAAGAGTGACGGCAAAAACACAAACAATATGTGTGTGTGTATACATAATATTATAACTATTCGAATATATTATTACACATTTTAAGGGTTAGTTAATTTAAAAAAACCTCCTTAAGATAACAACGTTTCATTCACATTTCACATATTACAGTGTATAGTGACTTTTTTTTTTTAAGACAATAAGAAGATCGTTTTGGATAAAAGTATCTGCTAAATGATTACAAGTAAATGTTCAATTTAAGATACTAAAGCCTTTTGCATGTCGAATGAAACGGATATAATGGCTCAGGCATGTGATCTATTTCATTATGCTCGAAAATGCTAATTATACTGTTTTGTGCTTCTCAAAAACAAAGTTTTAAGAGCTCAGAGGATCAATTTCCAGACAAATGGCTGATGTTCTCAGTCTCGCTGTCTGTGTTTGTTGTGGTTTGGCCTGTTTGTTGAGATGGGAGTCGTTTGACTGACAGCCGTATGTAAGTTGATCTGACTGGCTGCAGACCCCCAAACACACATTGTTTGAAGGAAGAACAGATTACAGCATTTCCGATACTGATGTGTCTAAAAACGGCGCTTATATGTTACTATATCAGAAAAAAACATTCCGGTTTTAGAGTGTGCATTAATTTAGTGATTATATGTGGAAAGCAAAACTAAAATAAATGCTTTTTATCATTTGTATCAGATGAAGTGCCTTGGCTTAGACTATAATTTTTCTATATTCTGGGAAAATTGAGGGTATTTTCTTGAAGTATGAAGGTTTATAATGGTATATTGATGTATAAATGGTTAAAATTCTTCACTAGTATATGACCCTGTATAAAGCCTGAAATATGATATAATAATCAGAAAAATCCTTTTTAAAAAAAATCGGAAGTTTATTAAACTTTTAGACAATCAATCAATCAGTCAATAAAAGCTGTTTTGAGGAAAATAACACCTCAGTTTTATTCAAAGGCCCAAACTGAGCAAAAATTCAGGAGCAGGTGATCCAATAACACACGTCCATCCCACCTCCTCAACACAGCTGACCTCTGATGAACAACTACTGTTAGTGAGAAACCGGAGAGGAGTCTGGGACTTGGAGGAGGAACAAGCATTTCTCTGTTTCCGGCACTTCCACTGTTCTAAATACTTCCATCAGGCTTTATGATTCTGTGCCTCAAATAAACCTCCCTGCTGAACCATCAAGAGTTATAATATTTCCATTGTCACACCCCTCAGCTCTTCCGGTCACCCTGGGTTCCTGGCTTGAACACGGAGATGAGTGGGATAAGTATGGGAAAACACTCGGGAGAGCGGCAGATGCGGCACAAAGCATTCCTGAAACTTCCTGTCACAATAAGACACTGCCTGTGTGTTTCAAAGCATTGGCTTGTAAAATGATACAGAAGCTTCTGAATTATTGACACTGGGACCTCTGGGATTTCTCGCACGTGACTGTCATCAACCCTTTCACCGCTGGGGCATCCAGAGCACAACACAAAGCACAACAGAAATGACACATTCTTTAAACATGTATTTTGAAGCTACTGTGTTTACTTAAAAGTCTACTGAATCAAAAGCCTAATGGTTGGGTAGCAAGAACCAGCTTTTATTCTGATTACAGAACAAATTACTCTTATGAACCAGTTCTTTTTGATGAGTCAAAATCATACAGCGCAACCAGTGATGTCTCTAAACGAGTAATTTTTAGTAAATCAAAAACATATAGTGCAACTAGTGTAGTCCAACTCCTGAACAAATGATTCTAAGGAATTGGTTTGAATGGGTTTGGTTTGAATGGTTCTTTTAGTGAATCAAAACAATTCAGTACAGCACAACCAGTGAAGTCTGATTCTTGAACAAACGACTCTACTGAGTCAGTTCTTTTAAGTGAATCAAAAAAATTCAGTACAACTTTACTAGTCTGATTCTCAATCAAATGATTCTAATGAGCTGGTTCTTTCTGATGAATCAAAAACATACAACGGAAACAGTGTAGTCTAATTCCAGAATGAATTTCTCAAGTAAATTTTTTGGTTTTTGTAAACCAAAAACATATAGTGCAACTACTGTAGTCCAATTCCTGAACAAATGATTCTAAGGAATTGGTTTGAATGGGTCGGTTCTTTTAGTGAATCAAAACTATTCAGTACAGCACAACCAGTGAAGTCTGATTCTTGAACAAATGAACTGTACTGAAAGGGTTCTATTCAGTGAATCAA